TCGTAGCATGATGAGTCTGAGCATCAGTGAGTCTGGGCTTGAGTGGGTCTGAGTGTGAGAAAAAGTGTGTGTTAATGAATCTGAGTGCGAGTGAGCCGAGTGTGATTGGGTATGGATGTGAAGCAGTATGAGTGTGAGTCGGTCTGCGTTTGAGCGGACCGAAGGATGATGAGATTGAGCAGGAGCGAGTCTGAGTATGAGTGGTTCTGAACGTGAGTCTGAGTGTGAGTAAGTTTAATTATGGATATGAGCGAGTCTAGTGCGAGTGAGCCTGCGTGTGACTGAGTCTGAGTATGAGTGAGTATGAATGCAGAAGAGTGAAGGAGAGCGGAGAGCGAAGGAGAGTGAGGCGGAAGCGTTTGAGTAAAGCATAGAACTTTGGAACATCGAACCTCGATCGTCTGGCCCTGGCTACTCGAGTTGCCCACGTCCTCCTCCCCCTCCTCATCATAATCATCCTCCTCCCCGTCCTGCTTCTGCTCCTACCGTGTTCATGCTGTCCTCCTTCTCCTCCTCCTCCTCCTCCTCGTCCTCTTCCTCCTCCTCCTCGCTTCCTCCTTCTCTTCCTCCTCCTCCTCCTCCTCCTCCTCTTCCTCATCCTCCTCCGCCTCCTCCTCCTCCTTGGGAGTGTTGAAACCAGCAAATCGCCGGAGACATCCTCCCAAAACTGCTCCGAAAACGACAGATGCCCAGCATCATAACGGCCAAACCGCCTGAGACATCCCCGCAAACTGGGCGCGAACGTCCTCCAAATCTGCCCCGACAGCGAAACATGCTGGAAGAGAATATGGCCAAACCGCCTGACACATCCCCACAAAATCCCGCGAAACGGGCCGAGTGAAATACCCCCCCGCCGCTCCCCTTAGAGTGCTGAAACCACCGAATCGCCTGAGACATCCTCCAAATCTGCTCCGAAAGCGAAACATGTTGGAAGAGAATATGACCAAACCGCCTGAGACATCCCCACAGCATCCCGCGAAAGGGGCCGAATGAAATACCCCCCGCCGCTCCCCTGAGAGTGCTGAGACCAGCGAATCGCCTGAGACATCCTCCAAATCTGCTCCGAAAGCGAAACATGTTGGAAGAGAAAATGGCCAAGCCGCCTGAGACATCCCCACAACATCCCGCGACAGGGGCCGAGTGAAATACCCCCCCGCCGCTCCCCTTAGGAGTGTTGAAACCAGCGAATCGCCTGAGACATCCCCCGAATCTGCTCCGAAAGCGAAACATGTTGGAAGAGAAAATTGCCAAACCGCCCGAGACATCCCCACCAAATCCTGCGAAAGGGGCTGAGTGAAATACCCCCCCGCCGCTCCCCGTAGGAGTGCTGAAGCCACAGAATCGCCTGAGACATCCTCAACATCAGTGTGTGTGTGTGAGCCATCCGATGAGTGGACCTGAGTGAGTGTAGTGAATGTATGAGTACAAGTACGAGTGAGTCTGATTGATGAGTGAGTCTGAGTGATGAGTGAGTCTGAGTGATGAGTGAGTCTGGGTGGTGAGTGATGAGTCTGAGTCATGACTGAATCCGAATGATGAGTGAGTCTGAGTGATGAGTGAGTCTGAGTGATGAGGGGGTCTGAGTGGTGGGTGAGTCTGAATGGTGAATGGGTGGGTCTGAGTGAGAGGAGGTATGTGTTCTCTCTCCTCCGGCGCGGTCCGCCAATAACAAGAAAACCATACTTAGGATATAGGGAATAAGAGTAGCAGTCTTCGTCGTAAGTCGTAGGAATAGAAATAGTAGAAATATTAGTAGTAGGAATAGTAATAGTAGTCGTAATAATAAGGAGAGTAATAGTAGTAATAGTAATAGTAGTAGTAGTACTAGCAGTAGTAGCAGTAGTAGTCGTAGTAGTAAGTCGTCGTCGTAGTGGTAAGAATAGGAATCGTAGTCGTGGTAATCGTAGGAGTAGTAGTAGTAGTAGTAGTAGTAGTAGTAGTAGTATCATTAAATATTGAGAGAGAACTAGTGGTAAAAGTAATAGTAGTCGAAGTAGTCGTAGTAGTAGTAGTAGTAGTAGTAGTAGTAGCAGTGATAGTAGCAGTAGTTGTAGTAGAAGTAGTAGTAGTAGTGGTAGTCGTAGTAGTAGTAGTAGTAGTAGTAGTAGTAGTAGTAGTAGGAGTAGTCGTAGTAATCGTGGGCGTAGTCGCACAAAGAGCAAGATTCGCAGTCACATGACTGGTACGTTTGAATTAATAGTATTTGTGGTAGTCGTAAAAGTGGTAGTCGTGGTCGCGGACGTCGTCGTCGTATCAGTAGTAGTAGCAGTAGTAGTAGTAGTAGCAGTGGTAATCGTAATAGAAATAGTAGCTGTAGTAGTAGTAGTCGTAGTAGTAGTAGTAGTAGTAGTAGTGGTAGTAGTATTAGTAGTAGTAGTAACAGTAGTAGTAGTAGTAGTAGTAGTAGTAGTAGTAGTAGTAGTGATAGAAGTAGTAGAAATGGTAGTCGTAGTCGTAGTCGTAGTAGTAGTAGTAGTAGTAGTAGTAGTAGTAGCAATAGAAGTAATAGTCGTAAAGGAAGTAATAGTCATATTGCTATTACTACGGTTACTACAACTACTACTAATAATAGTGCTATATTGATACTACTAGTACTAGTACTAGTACTAGTACTAGTACTAGTACTACTACTACTACTACTACTAGTACTACTACTACTACTACTACTACTACTACTACTACTACTACGACTACTACTACTACTACTACTACTACTACTACTACTACTACTACTACTACTACTACTACTACTACTACTACCTACTACTACTACTACTACTACTACTACTACTACTACTACTACTACTACTACTACTACTACTACTACTACTACTACTACTACTACTACTACTACTACTACTACCTACGAGCTACTACCACTACTACTACTATTATTACTACTAGCAGCCGCAGAAGTAGTAGTGGTAGTGGTGGTAATACTAATAATAACAATTCTAATAAGTCGAATCGGATAATATATTCAGGAGGGAAGCGAAGGAGGACAAATACAGTTGGTGGAGGGAACTAGAGAGCGGAGGAGAGGGAGGACGGAGGAGGAGAGACAAGGAGGTGGCCCCTTACCTCTCCCCTCTCTCCTCCCTCCATCTATCTCCATACACCTCCTCCTCCCTCCCCAAGACCCTTGGGCCCCCTCGTCCCTCCCTTGTCCCGCTCCCCCCTCTGGGTTTTTGGCTAGAGTCCCGCTGTAAATCCAGCCATGGCGAAAATAAGCCTCCCTGAGCCTCCAAAACGGGGAAGCACACCATCAAACCTCGAGCCTCACCCCACTCTTGAAGGAGGTCGGAGTCCTGAGTGACCGTCACCCCTCTTGAGTATGCCGCCTCAGGGCGCTCCAGCCGGTAGGGCAACTGAGAAGGAGCAGGACGAGGTCAGGATGAGGGGCGAGAAAGCTAAGAATGGGGAGACAGAAAGAACTGCAGGAAGAAAAACAACGCAAACCGGCGCCGCTGCTCCGCGCGCCAGGGAATGGGCCCGGCGCCGTTCCAAGAAGTCCGCGAGGACCTCCGGTTGATATGCCGCTGTTTCTTCTACCAGGTTCGGGCGTTGGCAGAACTAGGTTTAGTGGAACCTGGTTCAATGATATGTACTGGGGGATGCCCCCCCCGCCCCGTTCCACTAACCGGAACTGCCGTGACCCGAAAAAGGATCCTGGCGAAGGTCCCAACCATATGCAGTTGTGGGTACCGCAATTGTGAATATCTGCTTCGGTGAAGCTCCCTATGGGGCCACGAAACGCTGTGCTGGGCGGGGGGGAACGCTGTACTGTGTGGGTGGTGTGCCGAATTGGGTTTCCGGGACGCATGCGGACGGTCCCACTGAGGGCTTCGGTGGAGCTCCCTATGGGGCCACGAAGCGCTCTACTGAGTGAGTGAAAATGCCAAATTGGGTTACCGGGACGCATGCGGACGGTCCCACTGGGGGCTTCGGTGGAGCCCCCTATGGGGCCACGAAACGCTGCACTGCGCAGGTGGAAATGCCAAATTACATTTCCCGGACGCATGCGGACGGTGGCACTGGGGCCTTGGGTGGAGCCCCCTATGGGGCCACGAAACACTGCACTGGGTGGTTGAAAATGCCAAATTGGGCTTCCGGGGCGCATGCGGACGGGGGCACTGGGGCCTTCTGGAGCTCCCTATGGGGCCACGAAGCGCTGCACTGGGTGGGTGAAACGCAGGGAGGAAGTGGAGGAGAGCTACGAAACGCTGTACTGGGTGTGCGGGACGCATGCGGACGGTAGCGCTGGGACCTTCGGTGGGGCTCCCTATGGGGCCACGAAACGCTGTACTGGGTGCGCGGGACGCATGCGGACGGTAGCACTGGGACCTTCGGTGGGGCTCCCTGTAGGGCCACGAAGCGCTGTACTGGGTGGGGGAAACGCAGGGAGGAGGGGGAGGAGGACCACGAAACGCTGTACTGGGTGTGCGGGACGCATGCGGACGATAGCACTGGGACCTTCGGTGGAGCTCCCGATGGGGCCACGAAACGGTGTACTGGGTGTGCTGGACGCATGCTGACGGTAGCACTGGGACCTTCGGTGGGGCTCCCTGTGGGGCCACGAAACGCTGTACTAGGTGTGCGGGGCGCATGCGGACGGTAGCACTGGGACCTTCGGTGGGGCTTCCAATGGGCCACGAAGCGCTGTACTGGGTGGGTGAAACGCAGGGAGGGGGGGGAGGAGGGCCACGAAACGCTGTACTGGGTGTGCGGGACGCATGCGGACGGTAGCACTGGGACCTTCGGTGGGGCTCCATATAGGGCCACGAAACGCTGTACTGGGTGTGCGGGACGCATGCGGACGGTAGGGAGGAGGGGAGGGGCACGAGAGGAGGAGAACGCGGGGACCCTCTCTTCAAAACGAAGCCCAACACCACAGGATGGTTGGGAAAAACAAATACGGCAGACCTGGTTTAATGATTCTGGTCAATTTAGGGGCTCCGGGGCCCTACTACTGACCGGGTCCCCTTACCTGGGGTCCTGGCTATACCCAACAGATCAGGAGCACGAGGAGGAGAAGCCACTTGCCCGGATCACTGGACCCCCTGGGGCGGCACGGCAGACCCCTGGGAGCGAGGGTTGCGCGCTCAGAGGCCGCGGGGCGGCTGGCCGCGGTGGCGGTCCAGTGCAGGGCTACTGCCTACTGGCCTCCGAAGGCCTCCTGCAGCGCCTTCGGGGTCAGCGGCCGCCGGCGCCGTCGCCGTCGCCGCGACTACCGCCGCGGCCACTGGTCACCGTCGCCGTCGCCGCCGTCGCCTCCCCTGCCGCCGCCACTGCCTTCGCCGTCGCCACCGCCGTCGTTGCCGCATGAGGGAAGAGGAGGTTTGCTGCTGGGGATCAATGCCAGTCAAGCTTCCGAAGGCATCGCCAGGCAGGAGGGACAATGGATACGATCGCAAGCCGCCCATGTCGAGGCACTTATTCTTGGGGAGGGGGGGCTTCCCTCGGGAGGAGCAGGGTCGGGGAGACGTACGACTCGGGTTCGGGGGATGCGGTCGGGGAGACGTACGACTCGGGTTCGGGCCTGACGGGGCCATCATGAAAATGACGAGCCCCAGTCTGAAATTTGACGCGAGCTCCCGCTGCGGCATCCCACGAAAACTGGGCCGTCACAACCCCGGGCGGGCTCGTCAAAAAAACGTCGGCAAACCCGAGTTCGTCTCCCCCGACAGGAGAGAGGTGGAGAGGGAGGGACGAGAAGGCGAGAGAAGCCAAGACCTCTCGCGTCCGCAAGACTGCCGCTGCGGCCAAGCCCGTCCAAACTCCCGGCCTCATGGAGGCCCACTTCGGGCCCCGGGTGGCGTCCCAGACTGCCCAGGACGAAGAAGGGCTCCTGGGTCATTGGGGTCGAGGGCTCGAGGGGACCACGTCTTGAACAGACAGCAGAACGGATGAGGGGAAGAAGGGGGCAGGGGACGCGTGCGGAGACGGAGGAAGAGGGGATGATGGGGGACGCGACGGGCGGGGGGGGGGGCAGAGATCCCACGTCCTCAGTTCTTCCAATTCGGGGTCAGGGGAAGTCCAAAGCTTTGCACACCGAGCCGTTTTCTCTGATGGTCACAAGGCCCGGTCCCGGAGGCCGAAAACTATCAACAACTCCCCGTCGTGACTTTTTCCGCGACGCGAGCACGTCTGCGGGGCGAGGGGGGGCGTCAAAGAGGACGAGCAGCGGCAGCCACAGCGGCGGCACCGTGGGCCAACGGGAGGAGACGGATGCTGCCAGTAGGTGCAGTGGCGGAGCGAGGCCGCTTCATTTCAGAAAGCAGCGCGGCCCTGGAGCGCTGGCGAGCGTAAGCAGATCGTCTCAGACGAATGCCCTTTGGGTACAGTAGGCGCTTATACGAAAGTAAAACCTGCTGCAAGAATTCAAGGGCCGCATTCTTTGTCAATATGTGAGGGTCGTAGGGTGCCCCGAAGACTTCTGCGGGCCCCTGGGGCCATCGGAGAAAGAAATCACCGTGGGGGGCACCTGCTGGCAGGCCGATGTCTTGTTCGAAGTGCCTACTGTTGGAGCACCAGCCTCGGAACGAAAGCACGGGAGCGGCGAGAGCGGAGGGAGGTGAATGCAGGGCGAACCAGACACAACTGCAGGCACATCGAAAATAACGCGCCGCAGGCGCAGGCACCTCGTTCGCCAGCAGCCACGTCCCTCAAAGCATTTCGAGTCAAGTGCGCCCCCGAGAGAACATACAACTCGTGTCGATAATGATGATCTGGCATCGCTGATGTGGTCTCTGACTTCAGGGCTTCAATCCGATGGGCTAGTGCGTTTCGGCGCCCATCCTCAGGAGGACCACGACAGGAATCCTCATCAAGATAGACATCTTCGTCGCCGTCGCCGTCGTCAACCTCGGCGCCGTCGTCACCATCATCACCATCACTGTCGTGTGATCCGTTGTCGTCGTGGTGGTTGCCATCCCCAGAGTCGCCAAACGCGCAGCAACCCTCAAGACCACCATCACCATCTTCACCGACATCGTCGTCACCATCATCGCCGCCCACGGTGCGCGCGCGAGAGGAAGTGATGGGGGGGGGGAAAAGAGGGAGGGGGTGAGGAGGGGGAGGCGGCGGGGGAGGGCGGGGCTATGAAGTCATGCCTTGGTGTGGCACGCAACAGAGCGACAACTGGAGCCATCATCGCCGCCATCGTCATCACCAGCATTATGTTGTTCCCATCGTACTTAAGGACCACATCCCAAAAACAATGTCGAGCACCTGGAAAAGTGTCGAAAGAGTGTCGAAACAATGTCGGACGAGTGTCTCCCAGGGCACGACACGCGAAAACCCTCGAGTTCTGGTACTTTTTGCTTTGTGCTCGAAACTCTTTGTGGTGATCAAGGCTAAAGTAGGTTGGAACATCATTAAACTAGCCGCTGCCTCCGCCGTCGTCGGCGTCACCACGGGTGAGTCTGGGCTCCCCGCGGCAACCTTCTGCACGGAGGCCCTGGCGTCCTCGATCTGCGCATCCTCGGGGCCGGCCGCCAGGAGGGCCTCCACGCTCGCGCCCGCGGCGCACGAGAGGGGGATGAGGTGGGGGGAGGAGGAGGAAAAGGAGGAGGAGGAGGAGGACGAGACGACCGTAGAGGCGGAGGAGGAGCGAACGTCCAGTGGCGGGCGTCCGTCACTTCCCTAGCGGCCTCCCTGTACAGCGAAGAGGCCGCTGCTATCGGTGCGGCGGGTGGGGGCACGGAGCGCCGCCCGCGGCTCGTCTACGAAGTTGTGAGGCGGAAGGAGAGCGGGGGCAGAGCAGCGCGTGCCTGCGCCATCAGTGAGGTCAGGCGGCATCCTCAGGGCGTGGCGTGCGACCGCGAAGTAGTTCACAATCTTGGAGTATGTCAGCAGGCCCTCGGACGCGGCCTCCTTTGTCACGTGGTAGGCGCGGCGCGAGACCGCGAGGCGGGCAGCCGCACTCCTGACGCCGTTCTCCCCGTCGTAGGACTGCGCCTCACCGCCCAGGCCCAGGCGAGGAAGGAGTCCAGGTGCCAGCTGCCCACGAGGAAGGGCCGCGTGGTGCATCAGGCGCGGGCAGCAGAGGTAGTGGTCGATGGAGTGCTTGTTATTGCAGCCGAAGTGGCAGCCCCGCTTGGTGTGCAGCACGTGCGTCCTGTATGAGGTCGTCCAGCCGCCGCTGAGGGTCTTCATCCCTGCCCACAGTCTGGCGGGCGGGAGCTCGGCCAGATGGGTCCTCAACCGTAACCAGCGCTCCTTCATGTCGGAGGGGAGAGCGTTCGCGCCAATGGGGTCGTCCGTCTCCATGTCGCCAGGTGGATCAGGTTCGCCAGGCGGAGCAGGGTCAGGATGGAAAGCACGGTGCGCATCGACCCAGCGTCGGCGAGCGCGGTGCTCAGCGGCCAGCTCCGCTTCGCGACGAGATAGCTCGCGTAGGTCATCAGCACGGGGGCCAGGATTGCCCAGCAAGCGGAGCTCCAGGAGGCGGCGGCCGAAGGCGCGATCCCCCCAAGCCTGACGACACATTGCCCTCGCAATGGAGAGCCTCTGGGCGTCGGTCTGGTACAAAGGACGAAGTTCATCTCGAAGAAGAACGCCTGCCACGTAGTTGTCGCGCCAGCTCTGCCAGTCGGCCTGGTTGTCGATGCTCCGCAGGTTGAGGAAAATGTCGGGAAGCCAGCGCGCGGGCCATGCAGCAGCTCTTCGTTGGAGGCGATCTTGCATGTCCTCCGCTTCAGCCAGGGCTTCATCGCGTGGGCGGCGGGCATGTTGACGTCCAAAGTTGGCAGGGTACCAGGCAATGAGGCGGCGCATGATCGTGATGTGCATGGTGTCATTGTAGAGCTTCTCTTGCAGCGCGAGTTGGTGCGCCTTCTGCAGGGCGCGCTTCCGCCAACGAGGTGCATCATCATCATCGCGTCCCGCGAGCCAACAGCCCCTGCGCCCATGCACGTTGGATACCCAGGTCCTTGCTGTCTGGGCCGCTTGGCGGCGCGGGTGGTGTGCCAGCTCTTCAGCGAGAAAGCCTTGGCGAGCAGCATGGCGATGCGCTTCGCGAAGCGTGGTGCGGGCACGCGACTCGTTGCCAAACTCGCGGGCGATTCGCTTGAACGAGGAGCCCTTCCCCACGGCAAAGAAGGTGGACGTGAGGGAGCCCTTGAGCCGCTGGACGATAGTCGCCGGGTCCTGCCAGCAAGGTGCACTCCAGCGCCCCTTGATCACGGCGCGCATGGGGAGCTCCGTCATCACCGTCTCGTGGAGTTCGTCGTGCAAGTGCGTCCAATTCTTGATGGTGATGTGGGCCGTACGCCACATCGTCGCTGCGAGGAGCGACTCGATGCCGTTCGGGGTCTCGGCGTTCGTCCACAAGGTCATGGCTTGGATGTCGGTCTTGGCGAAGCAGTTCGGGGCGGCCCTCAGCAATGTGTGGATGGCCTAGAGCTCCTTGGACAGCAGGGTGGGCGGCGGCTCGTAGAGCTGGCCGACGTAGGAGAGGCAGGTGACCGCGGCGACGTTGTACAGCTTGGTGCATGTTTGAAGTGGGGCGCGTGATAGCGAGAGTTTCTCAATGCGGTCCCGCCACTTGCTCGTTGGCGCCTTCCTTTGGTCCTGTACCGCAGCGCCTGGACCGACCATAGCCCCAATATATCGAGCCATAGCCGCGACTTCGAAGTTCTGCCAAAGTGGGTGGATCTCGGTCATGTAGGCGCGGATCTCCTGGCGCAGCGGCTCTGCGGGGAGGGTCCAGGCGGGGATGATCATGCACTTCTTCGCTTGGAGCTTCAAGCCCGCGAGAGTTTCAGCAGCGACAAAGTAGGGTGCCAGTCGTTCGAGGTCTCGAAGGCGGGCAAATATGATGCCGAGGTCGTCCGCACACACACTGACCAGCCCTCTCTGGATGGCCTGGAGCTCGGAGCTGATGGAGCGCACGAACGGGTCGAACGTGAACGCCCACAGCGTGCCGCTCAATGGACACCCCCGAGCGACGCCCGAGGAGGCAATGAAGAGCGGCCGCAGGACCCCGTTCAGCTCGAGGAAGGATAGCGGAATGTAGTAGCACGCGCGCAGGAGCTTGAGCATGCGGCCCGAGATACCCCAGCGGGGCAACACATTCCAAAGCCATTGGTGGCCAATGCTCGGGAACGCGGCCGCGATGTCGAGGCTGATGAAGATGGGCTGGTCGTTCTCGGCGGATGGTTGCACGCTGAGCCTGCGGGCCTCGGTGTCAACGACCACGACGTTGCGTAGAAATTGTCGTCCATTGACGAATCCTTGTTGTTCATGTGCTGTGTCGGCAGCAAGCGTATGGAGGGAGCGGCCGGCGGCAGATGTAAGCTACTGGATGTCCGTGCTTGTTCATGGAAAGCGGCCGTAGGCAGGCAGGCGCTCTTGTGCATTCAGCCACGCCAAGCGGCTCGTCACCCTTGGGGGGCATTGCCATGAGCGAGTAGATGATGTCGCGGGGTGGCGCGCCCGTGTCAGGGTCGGCGATGTCCTGGGCGAGTTCGGCGAGCACCATGAACGCCGACGGAGTTTGAAGCCATGCACGATATGGAAGCCGATCGGGTCCAGAAGCAGAATCGTGCGCAAGACGGGCGGCTCGTTCGAGTGCGTGGGCGTCGGGAATCGGTAGGTTACGTTCAGGTCGCTGAGAGGATGCCGTTCAGGTAAGAGTGGATGGCCGACTCGTCGACGTGCTTGGCGGAGAAGATCGGGGCCCAGTGGTTCATGATGGCGGAGTGCATCGAGCCTGGGTCGGAGGTGGCGTGGGGGCCCGAATTCGTCACGATCTTGATGCCCGACAAGATCGGGCGCTTGGAGAAGGGATTCCACAACTCACCACGCTGGCCTTCATGCCTGGCCTTGCGCCGCCAGCGGTCGCCCAGCTGGGTGTTCGACTCCGCGTAAGCGGCGCGAGAGCGAGCGGCGGCCTTGGCTTTCCTTGCTTCGATGAGGGCGGTGTGGGTGGCGTCCCTCTCGTTCTTGAACAGCGCGGGGTCGATCAGGGACACGTTCCCGTTCTGCACGCGCAGGTGGAGGGCGGCGAGGTCCGTGCTTGCGATCATGGTGGAGGCGAGGCGAGTGTCCTGGTACCAGATCGCTCTTGCTATGCTTCGCAATGTCATGGCTCGTACCTCCTTGGCGATCGGTGCCGACTGGCTCGATAACTCGACCGACGCAATGGAAGACATGGTGTTCCTGGCGAGCTGGGCCGCCTCGGTCATGGCAGTCTCGAGCAAGCACTTTCCACTTGGTGGTCGGGGGCAATATCGTGACGTCGATCATGTTAAGCAGTTTCTCTATGTGGTGGGAGTAGTGGGGCGAGTCGAAGATGAATGCAGGGATGCCACGTTCAGCAGGAGGGCGTTGTTGTTTGGGCCGAATACGCAGGTGCATGATCTTATGGTCACTGTCCATGCCATGCGGGCCCTCCAAGGGGGCGTCGTTCGCAATCAGTAATGTCTCCATGTTCGGCATGGCATGGGCAGGCAGCGAGATGAAACATCGGTCAATCGTGGACTCGGACATGGCGGCAATGTTCCGACGCGTGGTCAACAGCGCGGTAATCTCGATCAGGTCCTTGAAGATGTTGCGCCAGAAGACGGGTTGGCACTGGGGCCGCTGAGCAGCCGTGGTGTTTGAGTCGACGGGCGAGTTGAGGCTCTTGGGCGGGAACTCGGACACGTTGAAGCCCCCCAGCAGAACAAGAAGTCGTGCATGTGGACGTTCATCAGTATGGGCACGGAGCCGTTGAAGATGTTGCTGGATGTCTCGGCGGTCCATGGGTGTGAGGTCGTGATTGTGAATGTTCGCGATGGTCACGTCGTGGCGCCTATGAGCATCAGTGGCCCGGAGCCAAGCCGCTCGCCCTGGAACGATGACTTCAAATTCACGAAGTGGTCGTTCTTCGGGTGGGCGGGTTCGCTCTGCCTTGTCTTAGGGCAGCAGGAAGCCAATCCCGCCTGCAGTCGTGGAGTATAGCGGCGGCTCGTTGATAGAGTCGCGGTTCAGCACCAACTGTGAATGGAAAGCCAGGTAGGAATGCTCGGTCGACTCGGCCAGGTGCAAGAGGTCCTCGTACGTGCCGTGCGTCTCCTGCAAGGCCAGAACAGCCCGTTGACGAAGGAGGGGGAGAAGATGACGGCGCTTGGCATGCCTGCGTACATCGGAGCGTCCAAGCAGTGCCTGAATATTCCAGTACGCGATGTTCAAGCCTTCGCGAGAAGGCTCTTCCACCCACGGGGACCATCTGCCGTCAAAGCCACTGCGCTGCTGTGAGGGGATCGGCGAAGGCGGCGGCAAACTCGGCGGCGATGTCTTTCTGCAGCGTGTCGTCGATGTTGTTAGCCACAGCAGCAGCAGCAGCAGCAGCAGCAGCCCAACGAAGAACAGTGGCTTGCTCGGGTGTCGAGCCCATCAAGATTTGCACGAGGACGTCGCCCTTCACTGAGAGGTATCCTGCGGACCTGTGCACCCTGACATCGGTAGTGCCGGCCTTGGCTTGTAGGATCTTGGCGAGCTTTTTGATCTGGACTTCGCCC